ACCAAGAAACTGAAGACCTGGCTAAGAATAACTAAGACTTATATTACCAAAAGAGTTTATTTTTTTGTTACAAGGATAGTTATACAGGTGTATTTTGTAGATGATAATTTCAATTTAATGTTTATTTGTTTTAATAACAATGTTTTATGTTTGAATATTATTTTATGTTATTTTTGAATTTCAACAAATATATCTCTTTGTGAAATACCACCACACCATGGTTAAATTTTTTTCTACACGTTCTACTAAGATTAGATATTCTCCCAAATATTCACATTTTCTGTTTTTTTGCAAAACACAGCTTTGGGTTTCTGAGACCCGAGTGCGAAGTTCATGCCTTATAAAATAAGTGTGATGTACCAGGGTTAAAGTACCGAGTCGTTACAGATATTAAAAAGTAACGAAAATTTATATACAGTTTCATATATCGCCGACTGATTATGGCTGTGAATCTGATAGTTGACGATAGTTTTAGAAGAATAAGAGAATAAGTAAGATTTTTTGTTTTTTTGATATTAATTGAATATTCGACTAAAAAATTTATACTATTTGATCACTTAAGTATTGTTACATTTCGTTTAAATCACATAATTCAAAAACCAACTTGTTTACAATGAAATAATTGAAATGAAAAAATAAACTCCATGATAGTAATTATATACTTCAAAATCTGAATTACAACTGTTTTAAAACTATTAACTTTATATTTATATCATGACTTCATATTTAAATCTAAGGTTTATATCTGTCGTAACATATTTTAAAAATGGGGAGAATTTACTATTGTACAATTTAGTACATTGGACCAATTGAATCGACACCTTAAAGCGAATTTAAAACAGTCGTATATTCGTGGAATGGAGTATAACACATGCATACTACCAGTTTGTACCTACGGCTGTAGACAGTAGGACTTACCAAAAAATCTGCTAAAAAATTAGAAACAACGCAAAGAGCAATGGAACGAATCATGCTTGGAATATCACTGAGAGACAAGATCAGAAACACCGAGATAAAACGTAGAACGAAGATTAGGGATATTGTGAAAAAAATTGTAAAAATGAAATGGCGCTGGCCAGGTCACGTAGCCCGTTATAATGACAACAGGTGGACACGGGAAATTCTAGAATGGAGACCAAGGATGAAAACAAGAAGCATGGGAAGACCTCAAAAAAGATGGGTAGATGACATAAGAGCAGTGGCAGGCAAACAGTGGGTTAGATTGGTGCAAGATAGAGAAAGATGGAGCCATTGGGAAGGATCTACATTCAGGAGTGGATGGAAAATGGTTGACAAAAGATGTCAAACAAAAATTGTAGAGCATCAGCCTAAGCAAGAGAGAGTTTCTTAGATAAAGTTACTTTCATTCAAAGCACAAAATTGGAGCGACACTCCAAGAAACACATACTGCCTTCTTCTTAGAGTGCCATATTCCTACGGAACGTCGGCGACTACTATGCTTATAATATTGTTATACTGATCTTGGTCTTGCGCTACGTGTAGCGATTGGTCCGCTGTCAAACCTGTCCCTTGCCGCAAATTCCTCAACCAAGAGAGTTTCTTCCGTCCTATCCATTTTTTTCCTTCGATTTTACCGTTGAGAATTAGCCGAAGGAACTCATATCTTGGTCATCTGATTATATGTCCAAGATATTTTAGTTTACGCCTCTTAATAATAATTAATAGAGTTCGTTGATGTCCCATTCTTCGAAGAACTTCGTCGTTTCTGGTTCTGCTGGTCCATGGAGTTTTTAGTATCCTTCCATACAACCACATCTCAAACGCCTCGATTTTATTCATGATATCGGCGTTTAAAGTCCAAGTTTCACATCCATACAAAAGTACAGACCACACGTAACATCTTGTAAACTTTTCACGGATTTCCAAATTTACTGAGTAATTGGATAATAGAGGCTTGAATTTTTGAAATGAGTTTCTTGCCTGTTCAATTCTACATCGAATTTCGAAGGATGGATCTAAATTTTGGGTAATCCAACATCCAAGGTATTTGAATCTCTGAACTCTCTGCAGCTGTTGTTGGTTTAATATCAGTTGGGTTGCGCCGATATCCACTTTACCGGTCACCATGTATTTAGTTTTATCGATATTTATCGACAGTCCCCAATTTGTGCATTCCATGTCAACTCTATTGATTAGCTCCTGCAGATCGTCGATGTTTTCAGCTAGAATCACAGTATCGTCGGCGTACCGTATATTGTTAATTATTTCTCCTCCTATGATAATTCCTTTTTGATCTTTTAAAGCTTCCCTAAATAGATTCTCAGAATACACGTTAAAGAGGGTGGGAGATAGTATACAGCCTTGTCTAATGCCTCGTTCAATACTGATTGGCTTTGATTCTCTGTTGTTGGTATTAATAATGGCTGTTTGGCTCCAGTAAAGTTTGGCAATAAGTTTGATGTCTTACTTTACATACTGCCGGTGACCTCCAATTAAAATTAAGAAACAATAATAAAAATAATTCTTGACGAATTCGGTAGTTATGTTCTTTGATATTTTTAATACCTTGACCGATAATATCGTACAGAAATAATACCGTTTTATAATTAAGATTTATTATTGTTAAATTTAGACATATTATGACACAGAGAGTCAGGGTTGTACACCTGTCACATGGGACACGCTGTACGATAAACACACTAGCAATAGACATTTTAATATTTTAATTAAGCACGTACAGTACCGTCGTGGTAGTACACAAGATACCAATCGTAAAGAAGAAAAAACTAAATTAATAGTAGTTATAATAATTCAGCAATTAATAATCGAGATATATATCTTGAAAGTTGTGCTGGTATGAGAAAAACTCGATGTCCGGAGGCGAATCGTTTAATTTTTTTCTTAATAGAAAAACAGTCCGAGCTGAAGACCTCCTTCGGTGAATTTAATTTATGAAAATGGCAACTACAATGGTACGTTACGATAAATTCGTAAGTGTTTTTAAAATGGTCGTGTAACAACCTGCGTGCGACATGATTGATACGATTCGGACTCGTAAAATATTAGAATATGTCCCCAATTAAGTGTCGTTTATTAAGATACACTTCCTTCGGAATGCCATATATTAAAAAGCAACTTGTTAAAATAATGGTGACTAGTTAATTAAACCCAATAAAAAGTCATGTAGGAAAGCGTTTTTGAAACACCCACAATGTAAGGTAAGCGGGAGATGTTAAATATTAAACAATTATTTTATAATGTCTCCAAATTCTTTTGAAAACTAAATCTAAAACCTGTGTTCCTAATGATATACATAAATATTATACAGTTATGTATGATTTATAGCTGTTTCACAAGAACTCACAACAACCTGTATCGAGCAGAAGCACAGAAGCGAATTGCTTCCTACCTTCTTCAACTTAAATCAGAGCAAAAATTGAAAGGAATATAGGGCCAGATAATTCTAAAATATACACTTGAGTGCAAAACAATCGACTCAACAGCGATATTTCAGATTACACCAGTTTTAATGTAAGAAGTATGAAAATAACAAGATGTAATGTGCAAACAGTAACTTTATTATTGAACTTACAAAAACTGCTATTTCGTTATTTGGAAGACGCATTATAAAAACAATGACAATGGGACCAGACTTATCACAATATGCGAACAGAACCAGCTCCGTATTACAAATGGATTCTATCAGCATCGAGAAGTACACAAATACACCTGGGGACAGAGAACAAGGAATCTAAAATCTATAATAGATTACTTGATTGTACGCCAAAGATCAAATCTTAAAATCTACGACGTAAGAGCTTATAGAGGCGCAGTTTGTGGAAGCGATCACCATTTCTTAAAAGCAAAAATAATGTTTTCAAGAAGAAGCCAGAATGAACAACCAGTAGTTCGCTCAGAGATAGCAGAAGATGTAAGATATAATCTTATCAGCCTAGATCAAGATAGTGTAAAAATATTGTATCAAAACAGACTGAACGAGAAACTTGAAAACATAAATTTCAATAACATCGAAGACCACTACAATTACATTAAAGAAAGTATTCACTCTGCAGCAAAAGAAGCGCTTGGATATTACGAAAAGAAAAACAAATATACTCCATACTGGTGGGATGAAGAAATAGACACAGCGATAAAACAAAAGAAACAAAAGTATGAACAATATTTAAGTGCAAAAACAGATACAAATTGGTCTGATTACAAAAACCATCAAGCTAAGGTGAGACAAATGATAAGACAGAAAAAAAAATGAATCCTGGGATCAAAACTGTCAAAAATTAAATAAGTACATAGGAGGAACTAGAAGTACAGAAAGCTGGAAACTTATTAAATCTCTTAGGACCAACGACAAGAAAAAAGATTTAATCTCACCAATTTCGATAGAAACATGGGACATGTACTTCAGTAAACTGTTATAAGAAGACCGAATGGAATTCAAAATAAAAGAAAGTAACCAAAACATACGCGTTGAAGCATCTCCTATAAGAATCACGAAAAAGGAAGTAAGGGATATCTGTATTTCACTCAAAAACAAAAAAGCTTCCGGACCTGGCAATTAGCGATGTGACGAGTCGGATATTTTCTGACTCGAGTTGATCGAGTTGATATATCGATCAACTCGAGTTGCAACTCGAGTTGACTCGAGTCGTACTTGGTGTCGTAGCAGCGACCATTAGAAGGCACAAGACTAGTTGTTGATATTTTTAAACAATTAGGAAACCAATAGGATAAATGTATTATTGTTATAAATAAAAAATAGTAGGTATTTTCAATCAAATGTTTATTAACAAAAACTTGCTATATTTATATGTATTACGAACGAGTATGTATACCTTACATACTTTTAATAATACTTATTCTAATACTAATTAGAAAAAAACAAAACTTAAATAATTATCTCCTTAGATAACAAAATAACTGCTTTTTCTTATTTATGAAAAGAATACTTACAGAAAATAAAATATTTCTTCTTTAAATAAAATTACAATATAAGAATATATACGTATAAATAACAAATTGCTTCAATATGTCCTTTTTTCAGTACAGAAAGAGTTTAAAAATAATAGTTGGTCAACTTTTTTTGGCATGAGTCTGTTTCTTCTTTGATTAGTAAGTAATCCAGCTTTAGAAAAAAGGCGTTCTGATGGCACAGAGGTAGCAGGAATGCATAAATATTTATATGCCATTCGACATAGGGAAGGAAATATGTGTTCCCTTTGCCTCCAAAAATGTAGTGGGTCTTGCTTTCTATCTAGATATGGCAAATCTAGATATTGTGTTAAAACCATGGTAGCAGAGGAGATTGTTGTCTGTTGCATGACAGTGTCACTTATTTTCTTGTCAAAATGCTCCCATATATCGTCGTCATCGTCTTTAGCTGAAGTTCCAGATGTCGACACTACGGCTGGTTCTGGTATTTGCTCATGAACTTGTTGAAATTGTGCCAGTTCATCCAATACATATTTAACCGCATTTTCTGCAGCACTGTCCGTTCCAAATGCCTTTTTTTTTAAACGAGGATCTAGAATGGTGGCCATTGATACAGTCCGGTTAACTTCATAAACACCTAATCTTTTGTCTACAGTTTCAAGTAACGATCGCTGTAGGTGTTTTCCAGGTTCAGTCGTTGGAGTCTTCTTAATTAAAGAATTTTGTAGTCCTCTAACTAGAGGAATAATGCATGACAGCGTCGGATATGATTCCCCACATAATGCGGTGGAGATTTTTTCTATTGGCTGTAAAATTGCCACACAATCTTCTAAAATTAACCATTCAGATGATGTTAAGCCTGATGGGGGTGAGTCAAGCAGTGGTAAAGTCGCGGATAGAGGAACTTTGACTCTCAATAATCTATCAAACATTAAATATGTCGAATTCCACCTTGTTTGTACGTCTTGCTTAAGTTTGATAATATCTAAGTTCATTTGTCTCTGCATATATCTCAGTGTATTAGACGATTTTATACTCTGTTTAAAGTGGGTCACTATTGCACGACTTTTTAATATAACATCCAACACTGCGGCATTTTTTAAATCAGAATTTCGGTCATTTTCATTGCTAATGCAGTCTTTTACGACAAGATTTAAGGTGTGAGCAACACAAAAGTGATTTCTTTTGTTTAGGAAATCTTTGACTGCTTTTTTCATATTAGCAGCATTATCAGTTACAATGGTTACTATTTTATCAAAAATTTCCCAATCTAATAATATTGTTCGCAAAGCATTTGCAATATTTAATGATGTATGATGTTCAGACAGTTCAGTCGTTGAAATTACTATAGAATGCAATTTTACATCTTTTATAAAATGTGCAGTTACACTTATAAAGCTTTTTTGACTATCGGAACTCCATATATCTGTTGTCAGAGCTATATACTCTACACCTTGTAACTTCTCTTTTACTTCTAAACTGCATATTTTGTATTTGTCTTCCAGCATCTGAGCTATTTTTTTTCGCGATGGCAATATATAATCCGGGTTTAATTTGTTTGTATATTTTGTAAAACCTTCGTTTTCAACTATTCCCAGTGGTTGCATATCTACCACAATCATGTCCAATAATGCATCGTCACCAATTTTTTGGTTCATTTTTGTAGATACAGTTAAACGCATTTGTTTTGGGCGCTTCGGAACGGGTTCATTGAATGCTCTGACATTATGTATATGCGATGGTGCTAAAACGGTATTGTTTTGATGAGAATCTGTTCTATTCATCAATGAGGTTCTGGAACTCTGTTCGGGTGCATTATTCTCTATTCTCTCACTTGTTAAATTTTGTCCAATCACTTCACTGTACTGAACTATATGTTTTTTCTTTATATGATTTATTAATGACGTAGTGTTCCCTATGTATTTATATTCGCAAGAGCATAATTTGCATACTACTTTGGTTTTATCGTCGTTTTTTACAAAGAATTCCCACGCCACACTTTTTCTATTTCTAAGTGACATTATAATATATAAAAATAATATTCTTGCAATTTCGATAGTGTCTAAACCGAACTTATACTGTTAACGTGAGTGGGGTTGATGGTTGATCGACGCGAACACACAATCTCACTGTTGCACTCAACGACTCAACACCGACCACCGACGACTCGACTAGACGTAACTCGTAACTCGACTAGACTATGAAATGAAATCGTCGCGTCGGGTCGGGTAGGCGTCATCGGTGGTATGGTGATCGTAGACCGAGTTAGCTCGAGTTGTTAAGAACTGACGTCGAGTTGACTCGTTTACGGTTTTACTCGAGTTACTCGAGTTGGATAACTCGACTCGCCCATCTCTACTGGCAATATACCCTCAGAACTGATAAAATATGGAACTGAAAAACTATATGAGCATTTGACAATACTCTTTCAAAACTGCATAAACAAAGTAGAGGTTCCAGCCGAATTTAAAACCTCAACCATTTCCACTGTACATAAAAAGGGAAACAAACAAAATTGCGACAATTACCGTGGAATAGCAGTTACTAGTACCATTAGTAAAATCTATGGGAAAATGATCAAAAAGAGAATAGAAAGAGAATACACTGATATGGAGGCAGAAGAACAGGCGGGTTTTAGAGCTGGTAGATCGACCATAGACCACCTTTTTTGTATCACCCAACTTATAGAAAAAAAGGTTGCTGTAGATCAAGAAGTCCACTTTTTGTTTGTTGATCTAAAAAAGGCCTACGATAGCATCCCTCAAAATAAGTTATGGAACACTCTCAGACAAACGAACATCAACTCAAATCTCATAACAGCAGTGGAAAAACTATATGAGAACGCCAACGCCAAAGTTAAAATAGGAACGAATGTTTCCAAAGGTTTTGTAGTAGACAAAGGACTGAAGCAGGGATGCTGCTTAGCGCCGACACTTTTCAAAATATATCTGGAACAAGCATTAAAACTCTGGAAGCGGAAATGCAGCGGCATGGGTATACAATTAAACAATAACAACCTGTACACTCTATGTTTTGCTGATGATCAAATTGTGATTGCTAACGAATATGACGACCTAGAATACATGACTAGAAAATTAATCGAAGAATACAAAAAATGGGGATTAGAAGTCAACATAGATAAAACAATCTACATGAACATCGGTGGTAAAGAACAAAATCTAGTTTTAAACGACGGACAACACATTAAGTACAACAATAAATATTCCTATTTAGGAGTAGAAATCACAGACGACGGCAAATCAGATCAGGCTATAAAAAAACGAAACACTCAGGGTAGAAGGGCCATATCTCAACTAAATAGTATTATCTGGGATCAACATATATCCAAAAAAATAAACATCGAATATACAACACTATTATAAAGAGCATAGTAATGTATGGAAGTGATGTGTGGCAGTTAAAGGCAACTACTGAAAGGACACTACAAGCCACGGAGATGGACTACTGGAGACGGGCCGCAGGAAAATCAAAACTCGAAAGAATTAATAACGAACGTATACGAGAGGTTATGGGAGTCACACATACGATTGTCGAAGATATAAGAGTACAACAACTAAAGTGGTATGGACATGTGCAGAGAATGCCAGAACATCTGCCCAAACAGATTATAGATTGGTCACCACATGGAAAGAGGAAAAGAGACCGACCCAGAAAGAGCTGGAGAGAAGGAATAGACAGAGAGATCCGAGAGAGAGGTTTAGACGAAGATCTTTGGGAAGATAGAGATGCATGGAGATTGGGATTTGGAGATACATAATATATATATATATATATATATATATATATATATATATATATATATATATATATATATATATATATATATATATATATATATATATATATATATTATAAAAACAATATGCAATACGAACAGAGTTTCTCAAATACTCATCATTGGAACTATCCCAAGAAAGTCGTAATAACCAGAAAAATCATCAATTACAAACTGAATTTTTTGTTTTTTTAGTATCTGATATTAGCACCCCTATTCCTAATTACATTTTCCAATTAATTTCGCATGGATCGGATGAAGTTTCATCTTAAGGCATTGCTTCCCATTCATCATTAAGTGCAGCTCTCAATTCCATTATGCTCCTTGGTGCATGATTTCTGCTCCGGACCCTTCGTTTAAGCTCATCCCAAACATGCTCTATTGGATTTATGTCCGGACTAAACGCAGGCCAATTTATTGTAAGTATACCGAAAAATTCTCCAGTTTTTCAGCAAATACAGACCTCCAAATGGAAATTTTTCTCACGAACCGTTAGATGTAGTAAAATTCTGAGTATGACCGAAGAACGAGCGGTAAATTTTATGTAAGAAATGTCCACTTGCTTGACTCTCGGACCAAAATTGACGCCAATATAGCCGAATAACGAAATTTGATAAAAATCCAAGGGTACCCCGTTGCCAAATTTTAATTAAAAAAAAAAAAATTTAATGTTTTGGTCCATGCACTCGATCCAGCTTATTACAAACATGTGTCTTAGTCTGATCATCTAACCCCGATTTGCCGGAAAAGAGAAAAAAAGGAATTAAAAATTCTCCAGTTTTTCAGCAAATACAGACCTCCAAATGGCAATTTTTCTCACGAACCGTTAGATGTAGGAAAATTCTGAGTATGGCAGAAGAACGAGCGGTCAATTTTATGTAAGAAATGTCCACTCGCTTGACTTTCGGACCAAAATTGACGATAATATAGCCGAATAACGAAATTTGATAAAAATCCAAGGGTACCCCCTTTGATACTTTTTGCCAAATTTTAATTAAAATTTTTTTTCATGTTTTGGTGGATGCACTCAGTCCAGCTTATTATAAACATGTGTCTTAGTCTGATCCTCTATCCCTAATTTGCCGGAATAGAGAAAAAATCGAATTAAAATTTCTCCAGTTTTTCAGCAAATACAGACATCCAAATGAAAATTTTTCTTACGAACCGTTAGATGTAGGAAAATTCTGAGTATGGCAGAAGAACGAGCGGTCAATCTTATGTAAGATATCTCCACTTGCTTGACTCTCGGACCAAAATTGACGCCAATATAGGCGAATAACGAAATTTGATAAAAATCCAAGGGTACCCCCTTTGATGATTTTTGCCAAATTTGAATTGAAAATTTTTTTTTATGTTTTTGGCACATGCACTCGTTCCAGCTTATTACAAACATGTGTCTTGGTGTGATCCTCTAACCGCAAATTTGCCGGAAAAGAGAAAAAAACGAATTAAGAATTCTCTAGTTTTTTAGCAAATACAGACCTCCAAATAGAAATTTTTCTTACGAACCATTAGATGTAGGAAAATTCTGAGTATGGCAGAAGAACGAGCGGTCAATTTTATGTAAGAAATGTCCACTTGCTTGACTCTCGGACCAAAATTGACGTTAATATAGCTGAATAACGAAATTTTGATAAAATTCCAAGGGTGAAAATGACCCCCCTTTGATGATTTTTGCCAAATTTTAATTAAAAAATTTTTTTTTAATGTTTTGGTACATTCACTCGGTCCAGCTTATTACAAACATGTGTCTTGGTCTGGTCATCTAACCCCAATTTGCACGAAAAAAGAAAAAATTGAATTAAAAATTCTCCAGTTTTTTCAGAAAAGTCAGACCTCCAAATAAGAAATGTCCACTTGCTTGTCTCTAGGACCAAAATTGATGCCAATATAGCAGAATAACGAAATTTGATAAAAATCCAAGGAATAATGAACTTATTTATTCATTGGCATTCTGTATAGCTGTACTGTATTCTTTTCGGAATCCTGCTTGCTCTACCGGTTGATAGCTATCGAGCTTCGACGATAACCTGTTAGTTATACTCTCATAAACAGTTTGTACATTTGGGACAGTAGGGAGATTGGCCTATAGTTCTTCAGATCTGCCTTGTCTCCTTTTTTGAAGAGAAGTATTGTCAAACTTTCATTCCAATTATCTGGGACTTTTCCTCTGTGAAGACATTCGTTGAAAAAATTGTTTAATTCTTCGAGAACAATTTCACTCCCCTCCTTCAACATTTCTTAAAGTATTCCATCTAAGCCCAGAGCCTTATTGTTCTTTAGTTGTGCCATAGCTTGTTTTATTTCGAAGGATTCTATGTTAGGGAGTATTTCTGAGTTCACATTCGTTATCTTTTATTTATTTATTTTATATCTAAATTTTACTTTTGTATTATTTCGATCCAAAATGTTTGCAAACACATTAAAAGAATTCGCCAGTACCGATTAAGTGTTTTTTCTTTAATTGACAACTGTCCATTATTTTTGTTACAATGTTAATAAAATGGTTAAAAACAGAGATATGTTAATTATACTTGATATCTAAATAAGTAAAACTTTAGTAGTTGCTCATAGATAGTTTAAATGAGTCAAGGTTTATATGTTTATTATTGCTAGTGGTTTTATTTTTAAATTTATGAATTCTGGGATATCAAGCGGTTTTATCAAATTTTCCAGTGGTCAAGGATTATGTCACCGGTTTTGCAGTTATTAAACAAAGGCGTACTTCACAAAAGTTTTGAATGTGTACCTAATAATAAAATAGTAATATTTAGTTTGTTTTAAATATCTCAGTACTGTGTTGAATGTTGAATGTCCGTTCCTTATTACAAAGAATACGAAGATGATCTGCTTGTTTAACATTAGAAATGCAGTAAGGTCTCGTTTTATGCGGTGGATACGTTCCACAGAAAAGCGCATATAAAAAAATTGTATAAAAAAGACATTACTTTCCTTGAAAAAGTAGGGATTCTTTCCGTAGCCTTCTAAAATTACATAAAAACAAAAAAGTTTACAGAAATTAAAATAAATAAGCTGCATGATAAATTACTTCGAATATCTGAAAGAAATTCATAGAAAAAGCTTTAAAAAACTGGTCCATATTTCTATTCGTTTTTGTAACTATTTCTATTGATTCATATCGTGTCGATAAACAGGTAAACGGGAAATTGTTTATTTTACTAGTATTTTTGTTGAGAGTAAACTAATTATTTATAAACTTCGTCT